GATTTAGTTAGAGTGTGCTGACGAGGACCAGAGGGCGGGCGCACATTACACCGGTTTTCAGGTTCTTTTATTAGTTTTTAAATGTCTTAATGGTCTTGGGCCATCTTATTTATCTGACCTGCTTTAATCATATCAACCCTCGCGGATCCTGAGGTCCCCTGGCAGCGGCCTTTTAATTGTCCCAAAAGTCAGAACAAAAACCCACGGGGAGGCTGCATTCAGCCATTATGGCCCTCACTTATGGAACAGCCTGCCAGAGAGCATCAGGACTGCAGAGACTGTTGATGTTTTTAAAAGGAGGCTCAAGACTCACCTTTTTAATCTGGCTTTTAACTGATTTCTTTTACTCTTTTAATTCTTATGTTATTTTAATTTCTAATGCTTTTAAATGATTTATTTTTAATCTTTATGCATTTCATTATTATTAAGTTTCTAAATCTTCATTTATTTATTTATTTATTATTATTTTATCTCATACTTGTTTTATCTTATCATATTGCCTTTTAGTCTTTCAGTTTTTAGCTCCAGTGTTTCCTCATGGGGGGCCTCCACACTGAGAGGTGTGCCCGGTCTGCCCGCGGAGACGTCGTCCTGGAGATCCCTCAGGTCCGGAGGACTGGGAGGCTCTGCACCATGTGTGGAGTCCACTCTAGTCTATCTGGGTCGGGGTGGTCTCTGTGGCGGCGTTCCCTGTGGCCGTAGGCTGCGACACCTCTCAGTGTGGATGAGCTCCCCATAGGTGGTTCTTTCCTCACCTGGTTCCTCAGTGCCCAGCCATGTTATTGACTATATTGACTGTGTGTGTGTGTGTGTGTGTGTGTGTGTGTGTGTGTGTTTGTGCGTGTGTGAGAGTCTCACAACGCACATGCTTGTTTTGGGGGGGAAATCTTGTGAAGTCTTGCCTGTATGATGTAATGACGGATGAAGCATTGAAGGACATACAGTATGTAGCGGCGGAGTTACAGCTGCCAGGTGAGCAACTCAGCAGCTAGCAAACACTAGTTCAATAAAATGCACGGACTGAACATCAGAGTGACGTCAAAGACTTTTTCTTTTTAAGTCTAAGCAGCTGGGCTGAGCTGCAGCGACACAGCTACTGAAGACACAGGAGGTGGTTACCATGGCAACGTGAGCCAACTCTGTTTACACTGTTTGTTTCCCTGTCGATGTGAGTTTGAACCCTGAGTCGCAAACACACAACAGGACACAAATAACACTCACACACACGCAAAGGAAGCACAGACAGGACATCCTAACACCAGGGGTGTTGACCTCTTCAATTGACGGCAGTAAACCTGTCACTTATTTGACATCACTTCCTGTTCGACCGTCCAACACAGTTTGAAACACAGAGAATTTATGGACACTGGAAGGAATTGTTGACATCCAGGAGACAGGAAGTACAAGTCAGCGACACTGCGGCAGTAGCTACAACTCAGTCACATCTTGTGTGTTCTGTCCTTCCTTCTGTCTTCACACCACTCTTTTTTAAACATTCAGGATTGACACATCCGTAACACTGCATGAAACTTCAGTCCCTTACAGAGATGTCAGTTCATGAAAGCTGGGCAGTGTCCAAACCAACCTAACCTGACTTTGAGACTTCAGGCCTTGCACAAACCGCAAGCTTTGACGGCTGAAATGACACCTGTCGCTAGCAGATTTTATCAGCTGTAGCTCATAAACAGCTCAGATTGGCTCCATGAGCAGGCGTGCAAGAACATTTCAGTATACCTGAGTGTTGTGACATTTTCTTTGTGATGCTGCATTGATTCTCAAAAGCACTATCAATTTTTAATTTATAATCTAATCAGTAGCCAAATGTAACACCATGTTGTGCAACGTTAGCTGTGACTGACGGAGTGTAAACTTTCCCATGTCCAACAGAGCAGGACTGAGCTGCTATTATAAGCCTAAAATGGAGCTATGCCTGTGAGCTGGTTCAGGCAGTCAGCTCGAGCTGCACTGATTCATGTATCATACCTCACTCTCCATCAATCATCTACGAAACACACCCTCCCAATCTGGCAGAATGTTTGGGCTGTAGAAATTTCGCAGCTCTCCCTCTGCCTCGTCAGTGCCGCTGTTGCCCTGCATCAGTGTTACTGCCTGCTCTGTCAGCCCCACCTCCAGCCCAGCATCCACCTGCAGGCTCCAGCAGAGGGATGAAATCATCACTCTGCAGTATCTCATGTGAACGTAACTGTGGGGAGCGATGAAGCCGCAGTCAAGACGCTAAACTCTTTGTTCTGCTGTTGTGATAAATATTTCAAATGCTAGATGTCTGACTGAACTCTTTAACAGTATCACCAAGGAGCGGCTCCCACATATACGAGAATTCTACAGAGTGGATGTGCTGGTCGTGAACAGGATTTTTCTCAAGGAAACCCCACAAGACAATGTAGAATTGGCCTTGGGTTACTCGGTAGTAAGCTACTGACCATGCTGAAGCCTGCAGCGCACATTAGAGCAGACAAACACACTGTTAAATTCATTTCTGCGCACTTCACACTTCTGCGCTTGTATTTTTACAGTCAGTAAAACAGAAACCACCGTCTAAAGTCTTTATTTACAGCGTTCCCACATATTATCATGGACAAAATTTTAGAACTTTTCTTTGACTTCTCAAGGGACTTTGCTACACACACACATGCAGGAGAGTCTCGCCACAAACGCCGCCACACTACGTCACATCAGTGGCAGTCCTTGCACATTTGATACCCTAGGCGTGCTTCCACCTGGCGCTAACATCAATATCTCCTTCAAACAGCTGTATTTATTTATGTTTCTCACCTAAAGCTACAGAGTACATTGAACACATCATGAGAACGTTATAATTAACTTTACAAATAGAAATTTTTACTGAATAGAACTTGAACGCTTCACATTGTAAATTAATGCAACTTCTGTAGTCTCGTCACCAGACAATCAGAGATCTCCGCCTTCTGATAGTCTGGGGACACTCCTTTCTCAAGTGTGTTTAACACACCGGCGAAAACGGCCGGCAACAAAGCAACGCCTCTTGCATTTTTGAAAAAGACACGCCTTCTAGGAAATGTGCACTCCTCCTTTTCTCGTCCGCAAGGAAACAAACACACAGAGAGCTTGAAAATGGATGCTGAGAGATTTAACTCTGTTTTATCAAACGTGTGCTCATCCGTGAAGAAAATATTTTTTCCAGTGGATGTCTGAGTTACAACATGATTGAGCTAACTGGAGTAGTTTCATGTTGTATCTGACAACAGGAAGCTTTTAACAGATGACGTCCTGATGTTAGCTTTGCTGCTGCTGTTAGCTGTCCCTGTCAGCTGCAGCCACTGATGCTTTCTAGACATCGTGATTTCCCAAAACTGAATAAATACCACACATAGCAACACAAAACTGCTTTGCTAGCTCGATCATGTTGTAACTAAGATATCCGCTGCAAAAGATATTTTTTTCACGGACTGTTTAATGAGTTATTACCTATTACAGACACCGCTAACGGCTAACAGGGCTAACAGGGCTAACAGCTAACGGTTAGCCCAGCTAAACGTGCACACAGAAATAGTAATGTTTGTTCAATCATTGTGTTTATAGACTTTACAAACATCGGATTAGTCTAAACGGTGATACAGTGATGTGAAAAATATGATATATATATACATAGCTAAAAGCTCTGCTGGTTTTCTACCCGGACGTATTTGTAAACAACAAGGCGATTCCCTCTATAGTCCGGACGGACGGATGAGTCATGGCCTTGTAAAAGATTATGTTTGTTTCTTTTAGTTGGTGAGAATGTGTCGCCGCAAACGCGACAAACATCCACTAATTTTGACGGTGTTTTCTGCGAGCACGGCTGAGCCATTTTGTACCGCTACACGTGTTTCTAGTGGGACTATGTTTACAAACACAAGAGTTCAGCGAGCCACCGAAGGACCGCCCTGCAGATTTACTATTGGTTCTGCAATGTAGGGAGTTTTTTTAAACTCTGAAATTGTATCCGCCCATCTAAACACAAAATCAGGGAGAAAGACATCAGTCTTTAGTTAAGCAAAGCGTCTAAAGACTAATGTCTGAGACTTGTGAGTCTGCAACTTCTGTGAGCTGTTCGTTGCGGCCAACGGCTGCTCAGAGGTGACGATAACGTCTTTTTTTTTCTTTCTCTCCACATCCACTCCCCTCAGTAGTGTAGTGGTAGTTAAGGGCACCAGAGAGCTTTTGTCGTTATGACATGATATCAATTCAGCATGTTTCGGGTTCACGTGACATTGGATAACTCGATATCTCCCCCAGAGAGCAGGTAAAGTGTAACGAGTTGGAGAGGGGGGTCAGGGGGCGGCATGAACCCAGAAAAAAAACATCTCAGTATAGTCGTTAGGTTGTGGTAGCCTTGTGTAATATTTTAAAATAATAGTGGTAATATTATTAGTAAAATATGGTAAAAGATAAACATTTTGATTTCTTTTCTTCCCCAATTTGGTGATGGCGCCCTTAGCATTCCCCTATACTGCCTACGCCACGGGCCAGCATTGTATCACGTATACGCAAAACGTCTAATATCAGAATTTTTGGCCACTATAAGTAATAGAAAATGAAAACCGTGCAGTTTTTCCATTTGTATCAAGCATCAAATACGTTGTTTGAGTTAATTTGCCTTATTTGACATCGCACGTCCATCGATGCAACTACTGCGCATCATAATGTCAATGCTGAAACAATATATCCTGCAGCACTAATATTAGAGCTACGTTACGCCAACAACTAACTCTAACTAACTAAGTTTTCCAAAACTTTCAGTGATTTTTACTAATTCCATGACTTTTCCAGGCCTGGAAAATTAGTATACAAAACTCCATGACTTTTCCAGGCTTTTCAATGACCGTTGGAACCCTGTATATATAAAGTATTGCTCCAACTGTAGTCCAGGACTTTTACATGTGGAGAAATGAAAGCTTGACAGGCCTGCTGTGCTGTTTGAAGGAGGGATTAACTGAAAGAGGGTCTCCGCTCTCTCCTACCTGTTCTTGATGCGTAGCTGGACTCCTCCCGCTGAACATGTTCTGCTTCGGTGGGATGACAGTGGTGTTTGTTGTTGTTGTTGTGGTGGTGGTGGTGGTGGAGGTGGTGATACAGATGTAAGAGGAAGAGGAGAAGGAGGAGGAAGAGCAGGGATGGAGGGACGTGAAGAGCCAAACTCCTCTATGTATCCTGGATCAAACTCCCTGAGGAGACAGGCAGACAGTGATGAGAGATGCATCCTCCATCTGCATTATGTTTTGTTTTTATACACTGATAATAATACATAATATATAATATAATAAACAAAGGCCAACACCTTATAAAGATCAACAACAGGGTCATCAAGAGTCTTGATGCTTTCAGAATATTGTTCCTTTCTGTCTTCCTTTTTGCTTTCTGTGATTTTCCGTCCCAGGACAGATAACAGCTAATCTGCTGTACAATCATCACACCTTCAGAATCACCGCATGGCTGACAAAATAAACCAGGCCTGCTGGCTTCAGGTCCGACAGGTTCAAACAGGACTATCTGCATAACTTTTTCTGTCTCAATGCCATCACATTCTCAGTTTAATCATTTAACAAACAATGTTCACCGCAGTGGCCTACATAGTGTGATTAATAAGCGAAATATGCTGGAGGTCAAAGGTCAAACAGAGGGTATCAATGACAGTGAAGAGGTGAACGTTTAGAGGTCACGGGATCCTGGAAGCAGAGACACTCCTTCGAGTCTTTTTTGTTATTCCAACAAAAAGAGAAGTCACTTACTATCTCTTAAAGTATCTGACTCAGTGAATCACCTGTCTACACACACATCCAGCAGTTATGGAGCAACATTAACATTCATTAGCCCTTGTGTTTGTGTCCACCTGATGAACATCAGTCCAATATTCACTGTCTTTTAGCTCTGTTTTTGGTCTCCACCACCTCCTGAGGAACATATCCATCTCTTTAGATGCTAAATGCTCCACCATGTTCACCAGCTCGTCTCTAACTGTGTCTGTCTGCTGTTTGCTGCTGAGTGAAAACCTCCACCGTCCAACAACCATACCAAAACTATTTTAAATGTTGTATCTTGTCGACTAAGGGCCTGTTTATACGGTTACGTATATTTCTGAAAACGGGTATTTATCTTTGCGTTTGCACCTGTCATTTACACGTAACTGGCGTTTTTCTTGACGAAAACTGAGATTTTCAAAAACAGCTTCCAAAGTGAAAGTTTTTAAAAAAAATATCCGTTTCTATGGAGACGTGTAAACAGGATAGACGAAGATTTTGGATGTTGCAACCCAGTTCGCACATGCCCATTAGGCGCCCAGGAACCACAACAACAATGGCGGATATATGCCGGGTTGTTTACATTTTGTTAGCACTTTTGGGACTACTTACGAGCTTACAAATGAACTTAGCACTGCTGCATCAACATCACCGCTACATCGGCGCACAAAGACGTCTGCTGTGCCTAATATTAGTAAGTGTGTAGCAGCTAACTATGCTACGTAAGGTTAAAATGTAGTTTATCATTGTTTTTATCTCTAGCCCCAAGAGGAAAACAAATGTTTTGTTTTGTGTTTGACATATGGCGTATTGCTACCTACTGGCCTGGCATGCTAACTGCAGCAAAAAGCTGCCATTTTTGCATTTTTGTGCAAACAGAGATATCGTTTTCACAACTGATCTTTTAAACCCGGATTTCTTTTTGTAAAGGATAAATAAAAATCCATTTTTATTTGTATCGGTATCCATGTAAACAAGGCCTTAGTCGGTGTGGAAATAAAAATCGTAAAAACAAGACAATGTGGTTTAGCAATCAGCCACAAGACGGACACATCCAATCAGAGAGCTAGTGGCTACAGTCAGGGTAAAGTTACAAATTCATCTTTTTTTAACTTGTTGGATAAATTCAGGAATTTTGATCAATTCAGTTTAAAATTTTGAACACATTTCGGATATTCAATTCAATTTTATTTTATTTTATTTCTATAGCCCAATAACATAAATCACAATTTTTCTCAGAGGACATTATAAAATATGACTCCCTCTGTCCTTGTACCCTTATAGGAGACGAGGAACATCCGCAGAATAGGCCCTTTTACTAGGAAAAAATGGAAGAAATCTCAGGAAGAGCAACTAAGGAGGGATCCCTCTCCCAGAAAGGACAGATGGGCAACAAATATTGTGTGTACAGAATAGGGCTGTCAACGAATATTCTAAATTCGAATTTAAATTCGAATTTGAAAAAAAAAATGGACCTTCGAATGTGAACATTGATATTCGATTGTGAAGAGAAAAAAAAAACACCACCGCAGCTGTCCTCTTTGTGAGTGGGCGTTGGCATCAGATGCACATTTCTCCATGCTGGTCGACAAGCGGTTCTGCTCCCAGCTGTTGTCTCCGTCACCCGGCTTGACACATTCGCTCTCGGCTCACGCAGAAAATAGACCAGACGCCGAAACGATCGCTGCAGGGCGCAAGCCGGTCACGGTCCGGTGCTTCGAGGCTATTCGCAGCACTTCAGCGGGCGGTGTGGTCACGGGTCAGAGAGGGGGGGCGAGCGAGAGGTCCGCGGTCGTTTATAACGTAATGTTATAGATAATTGTTTTATGTGTTTTAATGTGTAGGTATGTAAATGTTTTCAAAGACGTTTATGTTTAAATAAAAATATCTACAAGTAGTTACGTTTCCTTGTATTAATACATATACAAGTATGTTTCCTTGAATTAGTTTGCTCTCTTGTGGACATAATGCGGAAAAAAAAAATATTCAAATGGTTCGAACCGATGAGTTATTTTTAGAAGGAATATTCGAACGTCATTTTTGAGCAATTTTGACAGCCCTAGTACAGAACAGACCAACATCATACACTTAGAGTACAGACACTCCATTCTATGTATGATATGATATAAATTCAGCAGCTGTGGTTCAGCGATTTGTTACCGACTGCAGCGACACAGCTTTCTAAAGCCCTTTTAACACTCCCTGTTAAAGGCAGGAATTTCGCACTGTTATTCCACCTCGCTGCTCTGTATAAAAGGTACAATCCCGGACTGAGGGGACAGAGATGTCTCGCCTTTAAGCCGGCATCGGAGGTAGTAACAGCGCCTACCCAACGTCTTTGTAAAAGGGACAGCCAGCAGGACAGGAGGGGTGTAAAGTTTTGACGAAGTCTTATGTGTGCCACCCACTGCCCGGAGATTTAAAAAGCAGCTGGCAGCAGTTAGCAGCTAACTCAAATAACAAGAACAGCCAAATATGTCTGCAAATGGGGAAAACAATGAGGTTCAGGAGCAGATAGCATATCAGCCACCATATAACAGACAGTAAATGATTGGTACTGTCATATTATGCCATTGTCATTGTTTATAAAGCGGTGTTGACGTTTATGTGTCACATCCTTTTTGCTTTCAGGATGCCGTCATGCTGATTAAAATCATAAGCTGTTGTTTAGTTCTGTGGAAAAAGGCAAAGGTGGCGTAAAGAAGGGACTTGGTAGCGGCCCTGTAGCGCCTGTAGTATAATACAACTCTGACAAATGACTCCTGCATTACTTTGTGACATGAATGATGGGAGGATTTATTGCAGCACTGCTGTATTGGACAGCATTAGTTTTTATGAGGTGTACCTAACAAACTGGCGACTAAGTGTAAGTGATGAGTGAAGTGACGCCTAACAGATAGTTCAGGCTCCTCTTACTGCAGAGGTATCAGTCTTTAATCAAAGTCAGAGTGTTTCCAGCAGAGACATTTAAACAGAGAGGTGAACACAGGAGACAATACACACCTGACACACACACACACACACACACACACACACAAAGAGAGAAACACACCCAGCCTTATATTATTAACTGAGGACATTCCACTGATGAGTATTCAGAGCACACAAACACACACACACACACACACACACACACACACACACACACACACACACACACAGGTGCGCAGATAAAGGCCCATTAAAGTGAAACCTGTTGAGCTGGTCAGAGGAATGTGTGGCAGCCACAACACCCTAAATTCACCTGAACAGGAGGGACGCATTCCACTTTACATCTCATTACACACACACACACACACTGCTCTCTCTGTATCTTCTACCTGCTCAGTCATTTTCAGGTCATTACTCCGACATTCTGAGGTCAACGGCGAGGAGGAAAAGTCTGAATGAATGCCTCCTGACCTGCAGTTGAACTTCAGGCTCTTTACCCAGATTTTGCTCACAGTTATTTTAAACACTACAGGAAGTACAGCAGTCTCCAAATAAACTCTGGAGAAATGTGTCAAGAACATTTCCATTTGATGGAACAGTGCAGGTAAATGACAGATTGACACCAATCATATAACGATTACAAAAATCCTATTTTTCTGTGTTTTGTGTCTAAGTGACAAATGTGAACATCAAATTCTGAATTTGGTCTGGTACTGAGCGAGACTGCTGCAGCCAGTAGTGCCAAAACAGGCTGCAATATCACCACATGTTTGCACCGTCACTGCCCTTTCAAGGCAGGAATATCACGCCGTCATGCCGCCTCGCCGTGCTGTATGTAAGGTACGATTGCGGAATGGGGGTACAGGGTGGTCTCGCCTATAATCCACCACAGGAAGTAGTAACAGCACCAAAACAGTGTTTGTATGAACAACACAGGGTCGTGGGCATCACTGCTGTGACATTTTGACAACATCTTATGCATGTGACCAACCACTGGAGATTTAAAAACTAGCTGTTAGCAGTTAGCAGCTAACTCAAAGAAGAAGAACAGCAGCTGTAAATGTCTGAAATTTAGGAAAACAATGAGATTTGGGAGCTCCTTACCCTCTGAGCAGAGGCTGAGATCATCCACCATGTAACAGGGACGGTAAATGATTGTTATTGACATGTTAATGCTATTGTTGTTGTTTAGAAATCGTTGCTGACGGGACTTCCAGTGTAGCGACTAATGGAGTAGGACGTGTCTCTCTGAGCTCCTGCAACAACCTTTAAAAATTCTATTTTAGGCACACTTTTTGTATCTTTTCTCGGTGTGTGTTTTCCCCACCACCATAACCTGACCTTGACACCGACTTTTTGCCAATCAAAATGCCTCCAAAAGTTGGAGTTATCTGGCAGTATTACAAACATCCAGTCTGATGCGCTCTGAAGGACACCGTAAGTGAAATGGAAACATCACTTTCCACCTGCACCGACGACATTACTACGTTACAGGC